TACGGGAAACAAAGCAAAACCAGGGAAATAATAGAATTGTCCCTTAAAGTACATCAAAGGAACCATCGGATACCTCCCTCGTTGACGATTCTAGTCGTGATTATACGAAATCTTGCATATTTCTTATAAATATAATATTTAAATCTCGTTAGGACGACGTTTATTAATTTCCTGTACTTTTTTGAAGTGCTATTAAAACTGTATTGTTTATTTGTGAGTACATTAAATGTACAACTTTTTTAAATTTTACTTAAACAATTCCTAACATCGTTCACCCTAATTATTAATACACTTGGGAGCATCCACAGTCGAAAACAAAGAAACTCTAAAAACCAAACTCGACTATTTGATACTGTTGAAAGGAAGAATGACTATCGAAAAATTCACATAATCCGCTGAGATTAAAAAAAAATTATGAAAAAAAAATATGATACCCCAAAATTAATAAAGTTAAACTTAAGAATGATTAACCTGTAAAAGACAATGAAAAGAGATTAATGAAAAATGAACACTTAAGAGTACGACAAAAGATTTTCTTGAGTCAAGTGGCTCATCTAAATGGACCTGCCCACCCTCTAATGGCGAGGGATAATACGCCAATCTGATTACTTTAGAAATGGCGGAGTAACTGACTTCTCACTTAGAGCGAGTCGCTTTATTTTTAAGTGCCTCCCTTGATTTGTATGTTAATAGTCGTTTTAAAAACAAAACTTTCAGTGTAATCATGAAAATATCTATGTCGATGTAAATAAAGCTGATATTTGTCTGATATTCGAAGCACTGTCCTTGCCAGGGCTAGTGTTAGCAAATTCTCTCAGATTGAACACGTGAGTTCACCTGCCTGTCCGGGCGTAGCTGGGATAGCCCCCTAGGCTACTAGTGAATAGGTAGGGAAAAAAATCAATATAAATAGCCAGGTTTGCTAACAACTAACAATTGATTTCATCTTTATTTGATCCCGTTAGGTCAGGATATTAGAGTGAAGTTATAAAATGATTGTATTATCATCGGTCCTCGATGCGTTTGCAAATGTTCAAAATTTAACCTTCACAGATGCCATTACGTAAAAAACATATGTATATACATAGCAAACTAATAAAAGCGTGTTTTTCTAATTACTTTTTAGACCATATAACATGTTGGTACCCAATAAATAAAACTAGAGGTCCCGCAGTAGTCGAAATTCGACTATAATTAATTGGAATTGTAAGTTTGTACACTTTTTTTTTTTTTTTTTTTTTTTTTTTTTTTTTTTTTTTTTTTTTTTATTGCCTTTGTAGGCAGACGGGCATACGGCCCACCTGATGGTGAGTGGTTACCGTCGCCCATGGACTTCAGCAATGCCAGGGGCAGAGCCAAGCCGCTGCCTACCGCTTAATACTCTCCATAAGCCTCGTTTGAAGAAGTAAACACTATATTATGATTGTATTTTATACTTCTTTAATCACAAATTTCGTCAAGATTTCACTATAAAAATATTAACAAAGACAAACGATATTTAATCTATTCTCAATTTCACAACAGACGTCAAGAACAAAAGTTTGACAATAAATAGTATGCATGCGTGTGTGCGTCAAATACATGGTATATAGTGTGTGTAATGTTTTCTTAATTGATTTAATGTAAATTTTATGCATTCTTTTAAAAAAATATATTAGTATTGTGCACTTCTTCTCTATATTCTCTATAAGTGTGGAAAATTTCATACTCCTCGGTCAGCGCAATTTTCGTAAACGGGGATACAAAGTTTTTGCTTCACGTATAGATAAGAAAACTGTGTTAATGAAGTGAGCCTCAAATCTTGAAAGATCTTACACTCGTCACGACCGCATCCAAATTCAAACTGGTAATAATTGAAACGCGATTAACTTTCACGATAAGTGAAGATTCATGTAAGAAAATTCATTACCAGAAAAATGCGTGAACTTGCGTAATTATTTGTAGCGTTTTGTACTCTTTATGGTTATCTCCATCCTTGAATATAAGTCAGAAAGTACTCATAATATAATTATTAATTGGTATGCTGTGCTTTTAAACACCGGTTTAATTGTTAAGCGGTTAAAATAGCTGGTACCCGCTGGCCGCAAATAGCCCAAGACAAAGATACATGGTATTCTTTAGAGGAGGTCTTCACCTTCATTTGAGGAGGGTTCATGTAAACAAACTTTTATATTTACACACTATAAAAGCACTATCTACATTTATATTTTTTAAACGAAGGAGAGGGAAGGAAGAGGGATGAGGGGAGGAAGGAGAAAGGGGTAAATAAGTGTTAACAGCATCAATCTTTTTTTCTTCTTCTTTTCTTTTTTCTTTTCTTCTTTATAATTTCTTCTGCATACTTAAAACGTGTATGTAACCTATTATTTGCATGAAATAAAAGGCTTATTATTATTATTATAATTTTTTTAATTGTTAAGCGAATATTAGCTTTGATTACAGTTCAGGATCAAGTCTATCGAACTTCTTTGATCAATTAATTTTTCATTTGATAACNTTTTTTTCTTCTTCTTTTCTTTTTTCTTTTCTTCTTTATAATTTCTTCTGCATACTTAAAACGTGTATGTAACCTATTATTTGCATGAAATAAAAGGCTTATTATTATTATTATAATTTTTTTAATTGTTAAGCGAATATTAGCTTTGATTACAGTTCAGGATCAAGTCTATCGAACTTCTTTGATCAATTAATTTTTCATTTGATAACAAAGAGTTAACATCTTTGAATTCTCATTGCTTATTGGTTGTCCAAATTTCAGAAGCAGCCGTGCGCTTGGGCTAAGATCGGTAGAATAACTTACTCCTCCTCCTTGCGTCGGTTTCCTCATTACTGAGGGTCGTGGTCATGGCCTTGAAACAGTTTGATTTTTATAGTGCACCGCCATCTGTTCCTATCTGCAGCTGAGTGCAGAGCATCGTGCACTGTGGTATCCAGGGCTGCACGAATTTGGTCCGTCCAACGAGTCGGTTTCTTGCCTTTTGGTCGCATGCCCTCGACCTTTCCAGTGACCACCAATTTCTCCAAGTTGTCACTGTCTTTCCTTGCGATGTGGCCAAAGTATTCAAGTATCCTTCGCATGCAAATGGTGGAGACTTAACTATAACTTACTTAACTATACTTAAGTATAACTTACTATCTCTAGAAAAATATTAATTCAACAGAAATGAATAAAGCATGTTGGATTACAACAGTAATTGATGCTCAATCTGATTCCACTTAAAAATTCTGTGTTCGAGTTTCGTTTTGCAACTTGATATATTAGAAAACTAAACAGAACCACAATTCGTGAGCTTATTTACGATTCTGTGTGTCGTCGCAAGCTGTTAACTTTCGAAACTTTCAAATAATTTCAAGTTTTTAGCCTGCTAATACATAACTTTGTGTATAAATTTTAACTGCGAAATCTGTCATAAGTTTTACGTCAATTCACGGGCTGAGAATTCCTTATTTTGAAACGTTTACGGCCCTATGAATAGCGTCGGAATATTAATAAAAAAATCGTCGGTTATTTTGGGAAAATCAAAAAGAATAATAGACAAATGTGTACATGGATATATACTGGTGGTAAGGGAATATTGTCAGCCCTCACGAGTAGGTATTGCGATAATTTCTAATTTTGCCCTGAAGTAACCAAATTCCGGTTCGCAAGATAGGAAAGCTATTAATATAAAATTAAATATGTATTTAAAAATTTTGATTAGATCGAATCTAATCTGGGGGCATAACATTAAATAACTCATCTTCTCTATGGACAAAAAAATCGGTATTACAGCCTTTTAATTTAAAAGCAACATCTTTGGCGATTTGAAAATGTCTAAATTGCCAAGCGGTTATTATACCAATTCGAAAATTTCATTGTTAAGGAAACTTGGATTTTTTTATAGTTAATGTAATAAAATAAAAAAGTTGCGTGGCAAATGACATTATGACAATCCAATCCCACAGAGTAAAGATTTTATTTAATAAACTGTTTAGTTCAAGACCATTATAGAAACAAATGGCAGAGTCCGTAGATACTCCAAAGCATATGAAGGGGTCTTCGTTGAAATATTATGTGGTAATCTTGTAATATGTCTCTCTCGTCAGTTCAGGATGAACAAATACTTCGTTTTAGATTTTTGTAATTAGCTAAAGCAATTCATTTCGTTGATTATCTTTAGCTTATAGGTCTGTGCTACAATCTACATACATATACTATGTATTGGCGCCAAAATGAGAAAACTCAATGAGCAATCATATAAAAATGACAGATTCCAAATTCAAATGTAATATTTTGTTTATTTTTAATTGTAACAGTATTTATGGCCAGACTAAGTATATATAAAAATGAATTGCTGTTCGTTAGTCTCGCTAAAACTCGAGAACCGCTGGACCGATTTGACTAATTTTGGTTGAATTATTTGTGGAAGTCCAGAGAAGGCTTAAAAGGTAGATAAATATGAAAATGCTCGGAATGAAATAAAAATAGCAATTTTGTTTTTCCTTTCATGTGTCCCCCGTCGGACGGATTCCTTTTGTTTGTTTTAAGTTTATTTTATACAAAAGTTTAGGTCTTTTATTTATCGATTGAGGCACTGCGAAGTCTGCCGGGTTAGCTAGTATATTATATATTACTTGCAAATTCAAATAATGTAGCTTAACTGGCAGGAATATTTGGGGACTAAGTTAATAAATTCTGTGTCGTTGTTATTTATTGCCCTTATAGGCAGACGAGCGATACGGTCAACGGTGAGTGGTTACCGTTGCCCGTGGACGTCAGCAAACCCAGTTGCAGACCTAAGCCGTTGCCTACCGTTACTAGCTATAGTTGTATGTTAGTTAAATATAATATAGTTTCTAAGGTCGTTAAGGTTATTGTTCAATGAGTTTTAAAACATTTTTAGGGATTGCTGGCATTTCTGACAGTATTGAATTGTTTTGACAGAATGACAAATGAAGCGATAACGATTATTACGATGTCAATACAATTTTTTTGTTAATAATGAAAGAAAATTCGGACGATGCCAAAAGATAAGGAAATTAATGAGAACTCAAATGAAGTACAAGAAAACAGAATTACAGAACATAATAACGAAGATACGGCTAATGAAAGAAAATCACAAAATAATGAGATTCATATTGATATGACAAGATTAGGGGATGATGCAAAGGGAACTGAAAATGAAAGAAAAAATCCGAGTATTGTGGTGTACCAGTTCTATGGAGCTCAAAATCAGAACGACTGGGGGATGTCAGGTGACCATTATTTGCTTATATTGCCTATTTGCCTATATTAGTTACCTATGGCACTGATATAAAATAACATACGTGTAAAAAAATTTTAAGTATAAAAAAAGTTCCAAAAAAATTTGAGAGAGCATTTAAATTGTCCGGGATGAAAGGCTTCGCGTGCACGTTATTTCGGGGGAAGATAATCTAGATCTAACAACAACTTTTCCTAAAAAAAGTTTGAGTATTGGCCAAGAATTGACGTAGTATCTTTAACCTCCCAACGAACTATCCTTAGTTGAAATCTAGTGAAACATATCACAACTATTATTTCCATAAATACTACCACAGTAGCAGCTAACCCTAACACACTCTACGGGCATGTACTTTCCAGAATTAATGACGTGATAGTTCCCGTGGTATGTCTGGCCGGTAACCTCTTGATTAAGATACTTGCATAGTTTAGTTGGAACATGATTGCGCGCTTGTGTGAACATTAAGCAAATTAACCTTAATCAAATTTCGCAGAACGTTTGTATTTATTATATGAATCCTAACAAATATGTTTCGCCTTTGATTGAGATACGTACAATACGAATATCTCATTAGCTAATTTGGCGTTTGATCCCTTTCATGTCATCTATTGGAAAACAAAAATGTTCTCTGCTAAATTTCTTCATTTTGTTTCTCATCATCTCACTCTTCTGTTAGGTAACACAGATATACAATTTGCCACGGTTTTCTTCATACAATTTATGGGAGTAAGTTTCTCTTTCTTGTGAATTAACGGTTTCTTTATCTATTGACAGGAGGCAACACTTTTGATAATGGCGCACCTCCGTTGGAATATGATCCGAAGACTAGGAATGATTTCGTTCGTTTTGTGTTCATTATAGTTTTTATAATGTTAATGTGCACAGCGTCATTCACCGTCCTGGTATTTATCACGTAAGTGTAAGTTTTAGTTGTTGGTATTGCGTATTTTTTATTTATGACTCGGTTGATATGTTTCACGCTATTTTTTTATTGTCAAATTTCACACCAATGTAGTCTCGTCTGAGCTCATTTAATATGGTCCTACCGTTACTATTTGGAGATTTATAAAGCCCTACACGAATCGACCCAATATTTAACCAATTTTTGCGAGTGTTTCAATTTTATTATAGCGATTTTTCAAATTGTAAAACAGTCGATCTCGCATTGAAAGTGCTTGTTAGTACTATTACTTAGGTACTCAATACGAGGCACATTTAGAATCAGCTATTTTATGATTACATTACAAAAAAATGAGTTATAACATAGTTCAGTCGAGTATGTACCGCACCGGAAGAAAATCGATGATTCAGTAGCTTTATTATCGCTGCTATGCTGACACGGCGGAACATACATACGTTCGCAACCTATTTCTCATTACAGCGTCATGTTTCCGTCTCACAAATTGCACCCGCTTTCTCGCTGCGAAACGTAGGGACCACGATTCTAGATAGCAACGGAACCTGGAAAGTAATGCTTAGCTTCTGCGAGTCCACGATCTCAAGGGAGAAGGCGGTGGCCAGTGCGAGAGAGACTTTTTTCTGCACTGTTTCGTCACCAGTTGTACTCAGGACAGGGTTAAATAATGATATTACAGATGTTATTTATATATCTTATCCACAATAAAAGTTTTTGTATGTTTCAGGCCTGATATGAAAATATTTTTTCAAAGGATTGGTTTAGTAATTGGCATACCAGCCATGTAAGTATTTTTTCAGTGTGTGTATTAACAGTTTCTAAGATATCAATAACTGCCTTAACTATTGTATATTAATATGATAGGTTAACTGATTAATATACAGAAGTACTCGGGAAAGTTCATTGTCCTAAAGTTTTGAAATTCAGAATAAATATGTAGCATGGTAAATAACATTATCCTAATCACTGATAGCTTTCCAGATTTGGAAACTTTAGTTAACATTACCTACATACGCTAGGCCAGTTCTGATAGAAATATCGACTGTAATATGATTAAGTCTATGCTGATAGGCAGAATACCATAGTCTCACACCTGATGATGTCAAAATGATAATAGGTGACCATGGTCTTGTATTTCTTGAGAAAGAGGGAGAGGTAGACCTAAGAAGAAATGGATGGATTGCGTGAAAGACGATATGTGTAAGTAAGAGGGGAGTGAACGAAGAAATGGTATATGATAGCGGAGTAACTGGGAGAAGGGCAGGTGAATGATGACGATAATGATGGTCTTGTACTTCGATGCAGAATTGAGCATCCACGAAACATCTGCTGCAGGGTTAAAAAGCCTAAAAGATACAACTCAAATCGTAAATATTAATTTGTTTGCTGTTGGTGGAAGAATTGTATATTCGATAAATATATTTTCAATGTACGCGTATGTATCCCAATTATAGTTTTAGTTATTTACATTGCTTCTGCACTGCAGGCTGGTATTTCCAATCAGTTGTGTTTTTTTTTTATTTATTGCTTAGATGGTTGGACGAGCTCACAGCCCACCTGGTGTTAAGTGGTTATTGGAGCCCATGGACATCTACAACGTAAATGCGCCACCCACCTTGAGATATAAGTTCTAAGATCTCAGTATAGTTACAACGGCTGCCCCACCCTTCAAACTGAAACGCATTACTGCTTCACGGCAGAAATAGGCAGGGCGGTGGTACCTACCCGCGCGGACTCACAAGAGGTCCTACCACCAGTAAGAGAATTTTATCAGAATTATTTTCAAAAAATATCTACTTGTTCGCGTCATTGGCAACCTATGTATTTCCATCACCGTCGGAAAACAATAAGCGTAATTTAAAATACTTGAGTGGCGATTAACTCTGTTCATATTCTTGATTGGGTCGGTGTACTTATATGGATATTAAAATATGAATAAATTCTGTTAAAATTGCATCTTGCGTGGAACGGTGTAAAGCACCATCTAATATGTATGAAATGGTATTAGATTGAAACTTCGAGAACTTTATAGTCAGATCGTTTGAATTCATTATTCTAGAGTGGATAAATTTGGGTCCAAACCTTAGACGAGTAATCAGAAGTGAAGAGAAACACATAAAAATTACAGTGTTCTGTATACAATAGACGAGTAATCAGAAGTGAAGGGAAACACATAAAAATTACAAAGTTCTGTATATAGGGTTTCTGAATTGGGGAATTGTAAATAATAAATACACTGTGTGTTAGTTGCATCATTGAATCTACAGTATTGATGTGGAATGGTATTTGGTGATCCATGAAAATTCTGAGTGTATGTAGTTTTTATATGCATCATTTGGATAAAGTTACTTAATTATTTTATCGGGAAACATACGTTCTATATACTTATATACATAGTACATACGTTTTATAAATACGACAAATTCAGATCACGTCATTGGGAGTTCAATGAATTATTTAAAATTTATAAAGTTTTCTTTTGTTGTTTTAAGGATTTTAATTATTGGGCTGAGTTTCGTGATGTCTTGTTCGGAGTGTGCCAGAAAAATGCCTTGCAATATTGTGTGTCTTGTTTTAGCGGTAAGTTACTGATTATCTTTTTGTTTTATCTTTCTTTTATCTGATTATCTTTTTTATTAATTTTATATGCAACATAAGGGATTTTTTAAAATCATCTAAAATAATAGAGAATATAGAATTAAGGTGATAATTTTAACAGACAAACAAAATATTTTATTCGTTTAATTGGAAATCACTTTTAGCATATATATAGCGTGATTTGGATCCATACGTGTAGTTGCTATCGTCCTACCTATTTTAGCCGCAAATCAATAAAAAAAATTAATTTTTATTATTGCCCTTGTAGGCAGACGAGCATACGGCCCACCTGATGGTGAGTGGTTACCGTCGCCCATGGACTTCAGCAATTCCAGGGGCAGAGCCATGGGGCTCCCTACATTCAGGTTTCAAGCGGCTATTTTCCAATACAATGCAATTAAGACTTTGGTCTTATGCTGAAGTATAGTGGCATCCACGTTTTGATGTGTACGATCTCCGACAATAGCTTTTGGGGTGGTGAATATAGAGCAATCAAAAACTGTGAGGCGGTAAATGCTTTTCTACGACACATTTTTTTTATTGCTTAGATTGACGAGCTCTGAGCTTTAGTGACTTTTCGGATTGACATATCGTTCTCGATTGGCGACCGGCATACTCGTCAATTTGTACCCTACGATTTTTATAAGATCGCGCTTGCCACCCAACATTAATGTTTCATTACAATTATTGTAACCTATGTATATATGTCATCCGTGGCTATCGCACCATCTCCTTCGAGGCGGCGTGTGTACTGGCTGGGACACCGCCTTGGGTCCTGGAAGCGGAGGCGCTCGCCGCTGACTATCAGTGGCGGGCTGACCTTCGTGCCCGGGACGTGGCACGTCCCAGCCCCAGTGTGGTCAGAGCACGGAGGACCCAATCTCGGCGGTCCGTGGTCCAGGCGGCTGGCCGATCCTTCGGCTTGTCGTAGGACTGTCAAGGCGATTCACCCGGTCCTTGTGGATTGGGTGAATCGTGACCGTGGATGCCTCACTTCCGGCTCACGCAGGTGCTCACTGGGCATGGTTGCTTCGGTGAGTTCCTGCACCGGATCGGAGCCGAGCCGACGGCAGAGTGCCACTATTGTGGTTGTGACTTGGAAACGGCGAAGCACACGCTCGTTGCCTGCCCCGCATGGGAGGGGTGGCGCCGTGTCCTCGTCGCAAAAATAGGATACGACTTGTCGTTGCTGAGTGTTGTGGCATCGATGCTCGACAACGATTAGTCGTGAAAGGCGATGCTCGACTTCTGCGAGATGGTGCACTCGCAGAAGGAGGCGGCGGAGCGCGTGAGAGACGCACAAGCCCGCCGCCGTCGAGCGGGGGCCAGGGAGGCTGATCTCGTCCAGGCCTTGGCCCTCTAAGTGTTTCGGGTTCCTTTCATATGTCGGTCTGGGGCCCGGCGAGGGGGGCCTAAGAAGACGACGTGCAAGCTGCTCTTCACGCGTTTTACACAAGAGCATCCGGGTGATGGAAGGCCGGCCATCCTCGACCCAAGCTGGTTCTGACCGAGCGGGGTATTTCGTAGGATAACTAACTAAAACCGGCGCCATCTAGGCGGGCTTCGGACAGCCTGCTGACCGGGAGGGTTGGTCGTCGTGGCGCCGACGACCGCCGGTCCGGCGTCCCGAGGGGGAGGGTGACGGGAGAGATGTGCTCCGCACTAAATGCTTCACTCTCCCCCCTTTGCCTTTTCATGAGTTCTGTCTCATGAGAGGTTCGGACGTGGGTTGTTGAGCGACAGGAGGCTTTAGTCGGTTCGACTCCGACATACCCCGCCCGCCATCCCCAGTGGAGGGTAGGAGTCCGGCGATTTCCTCCTGACCGAAAAAAAAAAGTATATATTATGTATTCCAGACTCCGTTCTTCACAAGCAGCTTAATCTGTTTTCTAAACGATCGTTCTAAAATAATTTTATTATTTTTCATTACATACAGGTTATAGGAATGTCCACAATTGTTTCGTTCATCACGGTTCATTACAACACGGAGATCTTGATGTATGCAATGCTGGCGACCGCTGTCGTTGTGTTTGTCTGTATATTACTGGCCTGTTCCAATGTGAGTTGAACTAGCTTATACGGCTGTGATCTTTTCGATGGTCAAGAAAACAAAGCGCGAACCGTAATTGAGAAATGAATAAAAATGAGACTTCGCTGTCATGTTTTATTGACGGTAAGATGTTTTGGGAGTCCACACGGGTAGGTACCACCACCCTGCCTATTTTTGCAGTGAAGCAGTAATGCGTTTCGGCTTGAAGGGTGGGGCAGCCTTTGTACAGTAAAAACGGAGACTTTAGAACTCATATCTCAAAGTTGGGTGGCGGGATTTACGTTGTGGTGTATATAGGCTCTAGTGATCAATTATGACCGGGTATACTACGAGCTTGGCCATCTACGTCATTAGCTTGGTCGTCTACGGTCTAAAAATATTAATAGATGGCTGGAAGATGTTGCCTAATATTGTGACCTTGAAATGCCTAGTTGGATGGTCTGCGACATGGACATGAATACGATGGCGTTCCTAGTCTTGCTTAGCCGTAGTCAAAGATTGTAAAGCCCCTCGCGCTTGATAGCTAATGTCAAGTTCTTCGTTTTCAGTTTGACTTCACTAAATGGTTCATATACGTAATTGTCATATCAACGGCATTCAGCGTAATAGTGATGATTGTCGGTGTGACTACGTTAATAACGAACACTCACATGAAGTCGTTGGACCTCGGCCTTTTGATTGTCGGCACATTGATTAATGTTGTTGTGAGTTGCGATATTTTTATTAGATTAATATATTATAGCTATTTTTACAACTGAATATCGTTGCAATCGTTTCAATGCGGGATGTGGGTCAGTATTTTTTTGTCAAAATTTTATTGTTTTTTTTTTTTGCTTATGTGGACGAGCTCACAGCCCACCTAATGTTAAGTGGTTACTGGAGCCCATAGAGATCTACAACGTAAATGCGCCACACACCTTGACATATAAGTTCTAAGGTCTCAGTATAGTCACAACGGCTGCCCCACCCCTCAAACCGAAACGCATTACTGCTTCACGGCAGAAATAGGCGGGGCGATGGTACCTACCCGTGCGAACTCACAAGAGGTCCTACCATCAATAATTAAGCAAATTATAATTTTGCGGGTTTGATTTTTATTACATGATGTTATTCCTTCACCGTGGAAGTCAATCGTGAACATTTGTTAAGTACGTATTTCATTAGAAAAATTTGTACGTGCCTGCGGGATTCGAATACCGGTGCATCGCTAGATACGAATGCACCGGACGTTTTATCCTTTAGACCACGACGACTAATTAGTATTCGCAATAGGATAATAGTGAAGCCGTGATCGAAAATCTATATCTATACTAATCTATACTAATATTATAAAGAGGAAAGATTTGTTTGTTTGTTTGTTTCGAATAGGCTCCGAAACTACTGGACCGATTTGAAAAATTCTTTTTCCATTAGAAGCCGACATTGTCCCTGATGAACATAGGCTACTTTTTTTAATTCTTTTTTTATTTTTATTTTTTTGGTTTCATGTGTGTTTTAATGTTTCCGAAGCGAAGCGAGGGCGGGTCGCTAGTATGTAATAATTTTCGAGTATTATGTGTTTTGTTTGCAATTTAATATAGTTTCCAGTGAGTCTACATGGGTCACTTCACTATTCTTTCCTTTTTTTTGCGTTGAAGTCGAATCTCCCGCGAGGTTCCCGTTCCTAATAGGCACGCGGGATATGTGGGTAACGGTGGTCGAAGATATTGAAGAGGTTATGATTCCGCTTCTACCTATGTCTTTGGCAAAGTAATCTTAATTTACGAAACATGGGCATAAAGAAATTAGTTCTGTCGAAAATTAGATTTAGAAATTTATGTTTTACTTATTTTCCAGATATTGGTATTGGAGCTTCAGACCATTCTAGGTGGTAGATCTGTGGAACTCCACGAGGACGATTACGCGATGGGTGCATTCCTACTCTACATTTCCATAGTTGATATATTCCTCCAATTCGTGCAGATATTGGGTATTTTAGGGGATACGTGAATTGGTAAATTGTTTTTATCAAAATTAACGGAAATAATAACTGTTGTGTTTTCATTTCTGTTTTTTTTTGCTTGTCCTAACTCTTCTAGATGATGTTCTGAAGATTTAGATGCTTAGCACTAACTTTGAAAAAAACTAAACCAAGGCTTAACATATTACACAAACTGGTGGTAGGACCTCTTGTGAGTACTGGTGGTAGGACCTTTTTTTTTTTTTTTTATTGCTTAGATGAGTGGACGAGCTCACAGCCCACCTGATGTTAAGTGGTTACTGGAGCCCATAGACATCTACAACGTAAATGCGCCACCCACCTTGAGATATAAGTTCTAAGGTCTCAATTATAGTTACAACGGCTGCCCCACCCTTCAAACCGAAACGCATTACTGCTTCACGGTAGAAATAGGCAGGGTGGTGGTACCTACCCGTGCGGACTCACAAGAGGTCCTACCACCAGTAATTACGCAAATTATAATTTTGCGGGTTGCATTTTTATTACACGATGTTATTCCTTCACCGTGGAAATCAATCGTGAACATTTGTTGAGTACGTATTTCATTAGAAAAATTAGTACCCGCCTGCGGGATTCGATCACCGGTGCATCGCTNCCTACCCGTGCGGACTCACAAGAGGTCCTACCACCAGTAATTACGCAAATTATAATTTTGCGGGTTGCATTTTTATTACACGATGTTATTCCTTCACCGTGGAAATCAATCGTGAACATTTGTTGAGTACGTATTTCATTAGAAAAATTAGTACCCGCCTGCGGGATTCGAACACCGGTGCATCGCTCAACACGAATGCACCGGACGTCTTATCCGTTAGGCCACGACGACTTCTGAACCTCGACACCTCTTGTGAGTCCGCACGGGTAGGTACCACCGCCCCGCCTATTTCTGCCGTGAAGCAGTAATGCGTTTCGGTTTGAAGGGTGGGGCAGCCGTTGTGACAATACTGAGACCTTAGAACTATATCTCAAGGTGTGTGGCGCATTTACGTTGTAGATGTCTATGGGCTCTAGTAACCACTTAGCATCAGGTGGGCTGTGAGCTCGTCCACACAACTAAGCAATAAAAAAATACTCCTTAGCTTTACTGTCAGTCACATGCCAAAATTCTATATACCAAATTTAAGTTGAGCTCAAGGCAGTAATCACACATTGGTGAGGCGCGAATTTATGCTTGAGGTTTACCAGTGAAAGCACTTCACCAAGGACATGATAAGAAAGCGTCACATATTTGAGCTAATTAATTGTACGGTTGCTTCAATTCAATCAAAATTAGGAATGGTCTAGGATATACAGAACTTGTAGTATCTATACTATTATATATCTGAGAAACCGCGTTATTAAGACTATCGACAGACATCATAGGGACGAAGAGCTAGGGTAACCATTTAACACGTGGAGGCATTAAATACATACATACTTATCCCATAAGTATTTAATGTAACTAGAGGTCCCGCAGTAGTCGAAATTCGACTATAATTAATTAGAATTGTAAGTTTGTACACTATTATGATTGTATTTTATAATTTTATAATCACAAATTTCGCCAAGGCTACACTATAAAAATATTAACAAAGACAAACAATATTTAATCTATTCTCAATTTGACAACAGACGTCAAGAACAAAAGTTTGACAATAAATAGTATGCATGCGTGTGCGCGTCAAATACATGGTATGTAGTGTGTGTAATGTTTTCTTTTTTTATTTAATGTATCTTTTATGCATTATTTACAAAAATATTAGCATTGTGCACTTTTTCTCTATATTCTCTATAAGTGTGGAAAATTTCATACTCCTCCGTCCGCGCAATTTTCGTAAAAAGGGATACAAAGTTTTTGCTTCACGTATTAATAGATTATTAATAGCTTTAATGCAATTAAAAGGCCTTTGGTTAACCTTTTACGATAGAAACGGAGGTGATAAGATTCGAATAATACGTACACATTCTAGTATTTGATATTTTTTTGAATTCGCTTAAATAATTGTTCAACCTATCAATCACTCAATTGGTACAATTGATGCTCTTCGCAGAAAAAATGTGTGAAACAGGGATATTTAGGGCGTGAGATCATTTATTCACAATATAAAATATCGAAAATTATTATTGAACAAAATAGAATCAAACGAAGCCAAACAAGGCTCCGATACAAACAAAAAATATTGGAATATTGCGGTCTTCATAAATTCGACGGAGCAGAAGTTGTAGTTGAACCGAAGGAAATATCAAAGGTACTTATGAAACACGATAGAGGGTAGATGCTCCGGGTTTGCCCGTTGGTGCAGAAAGATAAAACGCAGGGTCGTAACAATTATTTATCGTTTCTATTTTGGGGGCTTTTGGGACTTTGATGATAATTATTTGGTATACTTTGGTTTCTCATCGTTAGAGTATTGGTAGGTATAGGTATATTGGTATAGGTGCACCCGCATGAGCGTACTGACATGCTGCCTATTTGATTCATCCCATGTATTTAGGAACTAAGTATATTTCAAATTAAAGTCTTCGAAGTGTAGGGAAATATAGTAATCATAATAAAACTAAATTTTTTACCTAAGCTAGTAGATGAGCTCGGAGCTCATCTAGAAAAGGTCATTGGTGCCTATAGACATCACACCTAAAAAACCACCTACACCTACACCGGAAACAAAATTCCGATTTAGCGGATCCGACGTAGATTTAGCGAAGCATTGCTTTTGCAGATGTTAGCAAAGTCTCTCATGCTGAGCCCCGTGTGCTCGCCTACTAGTTTGGTGAAACCAGAACCAAGGTAGCCGGGTAGGAAAAAAAGCCAATTTAGTATGTAGTTCGAACAGCGCCCCTAACGGCAAACGTACGCGAACGATCCCATTTCATACAAATATGAGCTAACTTTTACGCTATCGAGAACGTTAACAAACTCGCACTAAGCACACAGAGCTCTTGTCGCAAATTTCCACATTCTCAATTTGTTCGGCTGGTGAATAAATTTCCTATTGTAACTAATCACTAAAGTGTAGTCATTCTCGGATTTTCGAAAGTCAGCCAAATCTTTCGCTTTCAGTGCTAAAATGCGTAAACGTAACAAATAAATTGAAAAATTGGAATGTGGCCAATATATAAATGAACAAACAACATTTTGTAGCCAGTTCTGTTATTAGTATAAAAGATATATGTGTAAGGAAATTGAATCTCGACCTCGGCGGCTTCCTGCCAGTTTGTCATCTCGACGACGTCGGTCGATTAACTTTATTTTTTGCGCTTGATGCAGTTTTTATAAACGTTTTCAGCACCTGGCGTTTGTGAAATGAATTCTTGTTCGGTTTTTAGAACAAAGCCTTTACAAGATGTCAAAGTTGTTGGACTAATGGCATTTAATCAGGTTCTTTTAAGCTATTGCATAGTTTTTATCGCGGGCCTTGAGCGCGGTGACCGAATCATGAAATTCCGTAACGAAAAAACCTAACACCTCTCACTCCGCCTAACATGTAGCTCGCGTTCAACAAATTCACACGTTGCGCTTGTGTAGTGTTTGTGAATAAGCGCGTGGCGTGACGTCACACTACATGCGCATCATGAAAAGTCTGCCCATCTCTCTCTCGCGCGGTCTAGCTTATGAGTGTGAAGGGGACAGTTAAGGTTTTGCTTTTATTAATGTTTAATATAGCGTGGTCTTGTTTTATTATTGTTTTAATATTCAATTATCATAATTGCATAAGTTGATAAAAAATGCTATGCAATAGCTTTACCGCGGCAGTTCCCGAGTGCTACACGTTTTTTTTTATTGCCCTTGTAGGCAGACAAACATACGGCCCACCTGATGGTGAGTGGTTACCGTCGACCATGGACTTCAGCAATGCCAGGGGCAGAGCCAAGCCGCTGCCTACCGTTAAAAATTCCATTCAGCCATTATAAATGTAATTCAGACTTTGTGCAAGGCAGTGGTATTTATGCTGCATATTAATGTGCCCCTGACTTAGTCTAGTCATCGCCAATATCTACATTGTACACTACTGGACATAGGCATCAGCAAAATTTTCAAAGTCTGTGGCAGCTGTAGTGTGCCAGCATCTAAAACTATAGATTAGTCAAGTGTTGGATTATACAGGGTAAAATTACCGTTATTAATACTTTTTTTTTTTTTGTAATGCTTAGTTCTGTGGACGAGCTCACAGCCCACCTGGTGTTAAGTAGTTAAAGGAGCCCATAGACATCTACAACGTAAATGCGCCACACACCTTGAGATATAGTTCTAAGTTCTCAGTATAGTCACAACGGCTGTCCCACCCTTCAAACCGAAACGCATTACTGCTTCACGGCAGAAATAGGCGGGGCGGTGGTACCTACCCGTGCGGACTCACAAGAGGTCCTACCACCAGTAAACTTGAAAATACAATAGAGTACAACGAACTTAGACTGAAAATGATCATGCTTAATTCCCTTTTTACTAAATTCTGATTTCATGAAATGTCAAATCAGCGACGATATTGTCTGAAGTTTATTGTACTCATCGAGACAGGCAACTTCAAATTAAAAAGCAAAAATCTATTGTAATCACAAATAAGCACGATATTAAATTTGATTTTACGATTTTTATTTATTTAAATAAACGTTACCGTATCATTTATCAGCAGTATGAGTTAATAATAATAAATAATAAATAAATATTTACTAACAATCACGCCACGTTAACTGGTCCCGTGATAAGTTCGTAAAGAACTTGTGTTACAGGTACCAGATAACGGAAATAAATGTAAGATTTTTATTATACACATACATATATTTAATATACATCCATAACCCTGGAAAAGACATTTATATTTATCATACAAATATCTTCCCTTGGCGGGATTCGNAAATATTTACTAACAATCACGCCACGTTAACTGGTCCCGTGATAAGTTCGTAAAGAACTTGTGTTACAGGTACCAGATAACGGAAATAAATGTAAGATTTTTATTATACACATACATATATTTAATATACATCCATAACCCTGGAAAAGACATTTATA